CTCCTGCAGCCACCAGCTCCCCACCACTGTGTCTCCTCCAAGGGCTGGCTGCAGATTGAACTCACGCCGTCGGAAAGAGCAAGAGGGACAGGGCTTGCTGGGGAGGGTTTTCCCCCAGCATCCAGCTGCCACTTCTCATCTGCCTCCTCCAAGAGCTGGCAGTGCCAGGGCCAGGGCTCAGCAGCCACCGATGAGCGATGGTCGTGTCACGGGCTGCTTGCCTAAAGCTGTCACCCAGGAAGGACAGGGGCTTGGCAGGAGCTCCCGGCCCCCCCCAGGAGATGTGGCACGGGCTGGGGCATCCGCTAACCCTGTGCATGGCGAGGAGCCACGGGCTGAGCGTGGCCCCTCTCCTGCCCTTCCCCAGCCAAGAGACCTGGGGAGCAGTCGGGGTCCCCTGGAGGTGCAGGGACTGGCCACTGCCCCCCACCCAGTGCAGGGGGGGAGCATCGGGCTCTTCTGGCTGAGGAGAGGGAGAGGGAAGGGTGGGAGAGCCCAGGGCTGGGCTGCAGCCATTCATCTCCCCCAGCCAGGCGATTAGACGGATGACAGAGGGAGAGAGGCAGCTGGTGCAAGCACTGAGACCAAGGCTCCTTCCACTGGGTGATTTATCTCCTGGCTTCATCCAGCAAACTTGCTGATGAAAAGACTCTTCCCTTCTCTGTGCCTCATCAATTCTCATTCTCATTGCTTTGCTTTTTTTTTTGCTTTTTTTTTCCCTCCCCTCTTCTTCCTTTCCTTGGGCTTCTGCTGCCAGTTCATGCAGCCAGGCTCCCCTCATCCCAGCCCTGCACAGCCCCTCTCCTGCACACCCCAGCTCCCCTCCCTCTCCTGGCCTCATTCTCTGATGGCCTTTTTGTCCCTTTTCATCTTCTTTTCACCTCTGGTTCTCCATCTTCTCTTCACCAAAAAGATTTTTCTTCCCTAAAAGGGTTGTTGAGTCCTGTCCCAGGCTGCCCAGGGCAGTGGTGGAGTCCCCACCCCTGGAGGAGTTTCCAAGCTGTGGAGATGTGGTGTGAGGGACACAGGGCAGTGGGGACCTGGCAGGGCTGGGGGAAGGGTTGGACTGGATGATCTCAAAGATCTCTTCCAACCAAAATTATTCCATGATTCTACTCTATGATTCTTTACAGCACTTTCATTCCCCTTATTCCTTCTCCTTCCATACTTCCCTGTTGTATCCCCCTTGTTTTCCCTGAGCATGCCTGGCTGGGATGGAGACAGATTCCCTGAGCATCAGCACCAGATATCTGTGACACCACAGACAATGTCACCAGCTTGTGGCAAACTCAGGGTGGTACCACATGGGGCAGTGCCCTGCCTGGCCCTGGCACTTCGTGTCTTGATTCCTCAGGGATCACCTCGGGGTAAAATCCTTGCCCGAGGCACACTGGGCTGCTCTGCAGTCACACTTTGCAGCCAGCTGAGCAGAGAGGAGATGGAAATTTCTACCTAGGAGAGATCCAGCCTTGAAGGCAGAAGCCACAGGAATGGCTTAAGGGAGACCAAGGAGTTGGGTAAATGCTGGGAAACTACGGAAGAGACAAGTGGAACAAGAGTTCAGCTGGGGGAAAAACGGAAACTTGGGAGGATTTTCCATTTCCCAGTGATCAGGGCACTGCAGCAAATGTTTCAGCCTCCTGAATATACATTTTTGGAAAAAAAAAAAATAAACTCTGAGCAGAAACATCCCCCAGCTCCCTGCTGTCACTCTCGCCGTGCCGCAGCCCACGCCGAGGAAGAGCCTGAAATAGCAGCCAGGAGCTGCTGGGGCTGGCAGGGGGCAGGGAGAGGGGTCCTGGTCCCCAGCAGAGCCCCCAGCACCCCACATCCCCCCTCCTCCTTGCTGTCCCTGCTTTCACAGAGCCTCCCGTTATCCCAGACAGCATCTTCCCAGCGCCTGCAGAGGCAGCAAATCAGCCTGTCTTGGAGAGGAGATGAAATCTGGGCTCCCTGGGAGACACCACTTAGCCTCGTAACCTCGGCCACGTCTCGAGCCTGAGCTCTTTATTTGTTAGCCTCAGATCCCAGCTCCTTCTGCTTTTCTGTCTCACTCTGCACCCTGAGTCTCTTTTGGGGGAAAACAAGGGGGTTTGGGGTCAGCGCCTGGTGCTGCTGGGGAGTCACAGATGGAAGGGGTGGGTGGGGGTTTGGGTGGGGGTGTGAATGTAGGAATCACAACAAATTCCCACGCAGGGAACCGACCCTGCAGTTCCCCTCTGTGAGCCCCTCGAGGTCCAGGTCTCCCCAAGAGCCCCATCCCCAACCCCCAGCAGCTCCCCAGCCTGGGGGGGATGCAGCTCCATGGGGGAGGATTTTGAACCCAAATGGTGAAATGATAAAAGTGACCCCAGTGGCTGTGGGACCACCTAAAAGAAGGACATTGAGGGGCTGGAGCGGGTCCAGAGAGAGCTGGAGAAGGGTCTGGGGAATGTGGTTTATGAGGAGCAACTGAGGGACCTGGGGGTGTTCAGTCTGGAGGAGGCTGAGGGGACCTTATTACCCTCTACAACTCTGAAAGGAGATTGGAGTGAGGTGGGTGTTGGTCTCTTCTCCCAGGTTGCTAGCAATAGAATGAGAGGAGATGAGCTCAAGTTGCACCAGGGGAGCTTTAGATTGGATGTTCAGAAGAATTTCTTTCCTGCAAGAGTGGTGAGGCTTTGGACAAGGTGCTCAAGGAGGTGCTGGAGTCCCCATCCCTGGAGGGGTTCAAAAAATGTGTAGATGTGGCCCTTGGGGCCATGGTTTAATGGTCATGGCAGTGTTGGGTGCTGGTTGGACTTGATGAGCTTAGAGGTCTTTCCCAGCCTTGAGGATTCCATGACTCTGTGGTCCATCCCACCACCCAGCTCTGGTGCAGTGCAGTAGAAGTCTTCCCGTGGTAAAACCTGGTTACAGAGACAAACCCTGCAGAGATATCACCCAACAGCAGAGCTCTGGAGTCTTCCCTGGAAAATGGGGTTTGAAACAAGGTGTTTTTCTTGGGCTCTTCTTCACAGCCTCAAGGAAATAATAGTATTTTTAAAAACCTGCATTCCTCCATATTATTTTGGTTTTCTTTCTTTTGAGGAGAAGAGATTCTGTAGTATTTTAATAGCTGGAGAAATGTATGTGCCTGTGCACTTCAAAAGCAAGCTGTAGGTCCTTCGTTTTCCCTTCTTTTAAGAGGGGAAGAAGCTTAGTGGCTTGGTTTGATTTGTGTCAATGAGGGTCAGGAGAGCTCTAGCAAATCAAATAATCAAAGGTGAGGTGGTAGCTGCCTCCAGACCCTCTGAACCCCATGGCTGGGTGTGAGGAGAGGAGCAGGGATGTTCTGGGGGCTCACCTGCCCCCCAGTCCTTCACCAGACCCCCCTCTGAGAAACCCCCAACCCCTCTTTCCTGGAAGGGGTGCAAGGCGAGGGGGCAAAGGCAGACCTGCACCCAGCATGGAGGGGGTTAAGTGGCTGCTGCATCCCCCCAGGAGCTTCTAATGAGCCCAATCAGGGTTTCCTGCTCCCAGGGAGATGCCCCCACCTTGGGCCAGTGCTTTAAAAGGGGCTGGGGGTGGGGGACTTAATCCTGGAGAGGTAGGCTGGGGTGTTTCTGTGGCTTTTCTGTGTGCTGCAGCCTCATGGTGCAGGGGGTTGTGGTTGCTTCCATCCTGCTCTTGCCCTGGAAGCTTGGCTTTCTGCTCAGCATCACCTCCTGGGCCACCAGCCCCCCAGTATGGGCTACTGTCCCAGTGCAAGCAAAGAGACCCCTGAGCCTGCAGTCCCTGTGCTGCTCCAGAGCTGCTGCTGGAGATGCCAAGAAACGAATCTGTGCTTGGGGCACGTTTCCTCCATAAACCCCCCAAGGCAAGAATGTGTTGGGGGGATGAAAATAGGGCTGGGAGCTCCTGGATGTGGCTCACACGTGGTGCTGGGGAGGACAATGGGCAGGAAGCAGAGTCCTGAGAGCCTGGAGAGGAGTTGCCCCTGTGGAGACTCTCTCCTGGCCCTGCCCCAGAGAAAGCCTTTGGTCCATGGGCTGCTGGTGGCATCTGTGGGCTAATTACCCCCAAAACCTCTGGGCTGGGAGGGCACAGTTAATGCCACGGATCTAAAAGAGATTAAATGGACACGTTGGTCTGTCTGGGTGCTGGGGGTCCCGTCCAGAGCCCTTTGCCCCTCCAGCCTCTTTGTCCTCTCTGAGAACGTGTTCACCACACACCTGAGGTCTCCTCTGACCCGACTCCTTCTCTTGCCTCTTTCAGGAATGACCTTGAGGAGGAACCCCAAAGATGCAGCCGAGCACAAAAATGAATCGTTTGGGGAAGAAGAGAAGGCAAAGCTCTGCCTGAAGGCACCGTGGGTGTGATGTGCTCTCGTGGGGGGAGGCCGGGCCGGCCGGCTGGCAGCAGGGGCTGATCTGTGCCAGGGGCCTCACCCGGAGCATCTTCTCCTGCAGATGCCATCCCCATCCCTACCCCGCTCCGGCTGCACCCCGTGAGCCTTTCCTGCCTGGGAGGACGTCAGTCCCAGCAGCCAAAAATGAGACGTTTCCAGCCCAGCTCGCTCCTGCTCTGCGTGGTGGCTGCTGCTGCCATCCCCGTGGTGCCCTGGAAGGTGAGATGCCCGGCACGGTGCGTCTGCCAGATCCGGCCCTGGTACACCCCCCGCTCCGTCTACCGGGAGGCTGCCACCGTGGACTGCAACGACCTGTTCATCTCCACCGTGCCCCCAGAGCTGCCGGAGGGGACCCAGACCTTGCTCCTGCAAAGCAACAACATCGCCAGGCTGGAGCAGAGCGAGCTGGATTATCTGAGAAACCTCTCGGAGCTGGACCTGTCGCAGAACAGCTTCTCCCACGTCTGGGATTTCGGCGTGAAGAGTATGCCCCAGCTGCTCAGCCTGCACCTGGAGGAGAACCAGCTTACTGAGCTGCCCGACGGCAGCTTCCCCGGGCTGGGCAACCTGCAGGAGCTCTACCTGAACCACAACCAGCTCCACAGGATCGCTCCTCACGCCTTCTCCGGCCTCGGCAGCCTGCTGCGGCTCCACCTCAACTCCAACCTCCTGAGGACGGTGGACAGCCGCTGGTTCCAGATGCTCCCCAGCCTGGAGATCCTCATGATCGGAGGCAACAGGGTGGATGTGATCTCGGATATGAACTTCAAGCCCCTGTCGAACCTGAGGAGTTTGGTTTTGGCAGGCATGAGCCTGAGGGAGATCTCGGACTACGCGCTGGAAGGGCTGCGGAGCCTGGAGAGCCTCTCCTTCTACGACAACAAGCTCCTGAACGTCCCCAAGCGGGCGCTGCAGCAAGTTCCTGGCCTCAAGTTCCTGGATCTGAACAAAAACCCCTTGCAGAGGGTCAAGCAGAGCGACTTCACGAACATGCTGCACCTCAAAGAGCTGGGGCTCAACAACATGGAGGAGCTGGTGTCCATAGATCAATTCGCCTTGATCAACCTCCCCGAGCTGACCAAGCTGGACGTGACCAACAACCCCAAGCTCTCCTTCATCCACCCCAAAGCCTTCCACCACCTTCCCCAACTGGAAACCCTCATGCTCAACAACAACGCCCTAAGTGCCTTGCATAAGCAGACGGTGGAATCCCTGCCCAACCTGCAGGAGATCAGCATCCACAGCAACCCCATCCGCTGCGACTGCGTCATCCGTTGGGTCAACAGCACAGAGAACCACATCCGCTTCATCGAGCCCCAGTCCACCCTCTGCGCCGAGCCCCCCGACCTCCAGAGGAGGCACATTCGGGACGGCCCCTTCCGGGAGATGACGGATCGCTGCCTGCCCCTCATCTCCACCAGGAGCCTCCCCTCCCGCCTGGAGGTGGCCGACGGTGACAACGTCTCCCTGCACTGCCGAGCTCTGGCGGAGCCGGACCCGGAGATCTACTGGGTGACCCCTCGGGGGGTGAAGCTGGTCCCCTACGCGGAAGACGGGCGGCACAAGGTGCACCCCGAAGGGACGCTGGAGATTCGGGGGATCTCGGCTCGGGAGGCCGGGCTCTACACCTGCGTGGCTCACAACCTCCTGGGGGCGGACACCAGGAGCGTCAGCGTGGTGGTCAACCACTCCTTCCCGCTCAGCGAGGACAGCCTGGAGCTGGTGGTGGCCGACGTCCAAGCCTACCACCTCCTGGTCGCCTGGAAGCCACATCTCAACACCGTCTCCTCCAACCTCACCTGGTCCAGCTTCGTCCTTCGCTCCAACCTGGACGTCACCAACGTGGCCCGGATCCCCACGGGGACCCACACGTACAACATCACCCGGCTCCACCAGGACACGGAGTACTGGGCTTGCCTCCACGTGGCCTTTGTAGACTTGCAGGCCAAGGTGGCTTGTGTGAACGCCAGGACTAAGGAGGCCACCCACCGCTACCGGCTCCCTGAGGGCGGCCGGAGCCCTCCCACGGGGGCGGCCCTA